CTCCGTCCACACCTTTGGGAACCCCTGGACCGCTAGGGCTGGACCCCGGCAAAGAATAATTTCTTAATCATGACATATGACCATCATTTCCATACTGAAATTTTTAGAAGACTAATATTAAGCAGGAAAAAAGCTGGAAGTTAGATATTCATTTATTTAACTAAAAGTATTCAGCTTCGCCAGGCCCCAGTGGCTCAGTGGTGGAGTGTTGACCTAGAAACCTGGAGGTCACGGTTCAATTCCTGGTCAGGGCACATGCCTGGGTTGCAGGCTCAATCCTCAGTAGGGAACGTGCAGGAGGCAGCCGATCAATGATTCTCTCTCATCACTGATGTTTCTCTCTCTCTCTCCCTCGCCTTCCCCCTTCCCCTCCGAAATCAATAAAAATATTTTAAAAATAATAAATAAAAATATTCAGCTTCTAAAAGTGAATTCTAGATATCACATACAATGTACAGTTTATGACAAATGATCAGAATGGTCTGCCTAATTTAGCCAATGATAAATAATAACCATCTCCAATAAATGTCTTTAATAAAATGTCCTGGAAACAGAGTAAGTACAAATTGACTTAACTAGAAAACTAAAATAAATGTCTTCTAAATGGTTTCTATTTAAAATTTTTAATTAATAAAGGCAAATACTTTGAGTTTAAAATCCCAATTTTTTATATTAAAAGGAAATTTTGCAATATGCTACAATGAGTGAACCTTGAGAACAGTATACTAAGTGAAATTAGCCAGTCACAAAAAGACAAATACTCTATGATTCCACTTATATGAGGTACTTAGAATAGTCAAAATCATAAAGACAAAGTATAATGGTGGATGTTTACCAGGGGCTAGATGAAGGGGAGAATGGGGAGTAATTGTTTAGAGGCCCGGTGCACAAATTCATGCACTGGGTGGGGTTGGGGGGGGGCCCTGCCCCCTGGTGGTCAGTGCTCATCATAGCGATGGGTCATTCTGCTGTTCGGTCAATTTGCATATTAGCCCTTTATTTTATGGGATAGGTATAGAGTTCCAATTTTAAAAATGAAAACAGTTACAGAGATGGATGGTGGTGACAACTGCCCAATGTGAATGTATTTAATACCAGGGAACACTTAAAAACAGTGAAAATGATAAACTTTATGTTGTGTATACTTTACTACAATAAAAAAAGAAAAATGTTTTAAATGATCTAAAAATTCAAACCCATGAAGATGCTTTTTCTATTTCTATTATTTAAAATTGCATTCAACTACATGAAGAATGTTGGGTGTTAAGCCTGTCTAAAATCTTCCAGGAAATATCATTCCAAATGAGTCAGAAGTACACTCAGCTCTATGACATCAAACACAATTAGGACACTTGATGTTTACCAGATGATCTCTCTTCATTGCATAATCCTAACCCTTGTTTCCATTGAACAGAAAGTATAAAACACATCTCTCCATAAAAATCTCTCCCAAAGGCAAGTTATGTTTTATTTATATAGATACACATCAACTCTGTTTTATACTTTAATTCCCATGCATATCTAAAAACATGTCTCACACACTGTAGAGAATCATTAGTATCACTAGTTGATTTTGAGTCTTTACCTTGATGGGAACCTGAAATGTTTCTACTTATTCAGGTTTAAGGAATAACAGCAGCCTAACATCTAGAAATGCTACACAGTCAGCAAATGTTTCTGCTTAATAGATCAATTTGTTACGAAATACCTTGTTTCCTATGAATAAACAAACATCAGAGAATTGTCATGAGGGCTGAAATCATGACCTGCTGGGAGTTTGTTCAGTAAATGCTCAGCCCGTTTGTTTCACTTATAGATCAGTTGATTAAAGACTCTAACATGCAATTGTGGATCATGAGATCCCAAGTAAGCAATTAGTAATTTGCAACAAACATTATTGAGCATAAAGTTTTTAATACCACCTGTTTACAGATGACAAAACCAAATTGGCCTCCCTGAGATCACAATATCACAAAACCTGATCCCTACACTTCTGACTCTAACTCCAACTGTTTTTTATTTTTCACTGCTTATAATTAATATCAGAGACAGTGTCATAACCTTGTATCTTGTCATCATCACTAATGTTCCTATGTCCAATGTATCAAACATACTCTGTATCTCTCAGACATTTACATTTTTAAAGTAGATAAAATCTATTGTGTGCATTTCCTGTAGATCTTGATTATTAACATTATGTAAACTTTTTGGTTCCTAAAGCATACCACTAGTATAAATATGGCTTATTTTTCTTTCTCTGGTAGATTTACACCACTAAATGATCAAAACAGAACACTGGCGGCATAAAACAAAGTAAATGGGCATACTGCCTACAGTGGGATGGACTGGAGCTTCTACCTTGTTAAGACAGAGATTTGTTGTCAGCTCACATTCTTGAGCTCTAGGAGTATGTGAAATATAAATATTTGATGGATGAAGATGATGCAAAAAGATGGCTTCCACTGCATGAAGCTTTATTGTTCAACTCATTCAATAAATATTTAAAATTGTTTTGAATGGTGAGAAAATAGAAAACCTCTCTGACTAAACCAAACCAAGAATGTAGAAGTTATGAGCATTCCCAATGAACATAAACACAAAAAGCAGAAAAGATTACTTGGAATTTGAAAAAGGCAGTATGTTTTAAACTGAGTACAAAAATTAGAACATTTTGGGGAAGTCCAAAGTTCACCGTTTGCATTCTTCCAGGAATGTAACACAGGTTGGGAAGAAGGTTATCACGAAAAGTGATCAAAGTTTGTTTATATCATGAATTAATTGATTTGAATATAAAACTTTGTTTTTTAAAGTTGTTAATTTTTTATCTTTATCTCTTGATATAATAGTTTTCAAATGATTATTATACAATAAAAGTAATACAATATTTGTCTTTATATTACATTTTTATAATGTAAACATTAATATTATCCTATATAATAAAAGGGTAATATGCAAATTGACCCTAACAGCAAACGACTGGGAATGACTTGTCACTATGACACACACTGACCATCAGGGGGCAGATGCTCAATGCAGGAGCTGCCTCCTGGTGGTCAGTGTGCTTCCACAGGGGGAGCTCTGCTCAGCCACAAGCCAGGCTGCCAGCTGCCAGCACAGCGGTGGTGGCAGGAGCCTCTTCCGCCTCTTCAGCAGTGCTAAGGATGTCCGACTGCAGCTTAGGCCTGCTCCTCGCTGGCAAGTGGACATCCCCCAAGGGCTCCCAGGCTGCCAGAGGGATGTCTGACTGCCAGCATAGGCCCATTCCCCTGGGAAGCAGGCTTAAGCCAGCAGGTGGACATCCCCCGAGGGGTCCCAGATTGCAAGAGGGCACAGACCGGGCTGAGGGACCCCCCCCGAAGTGCACAAATTTTTGTGCACTGGACCTCTAGTGGTAAATAAAATTTATAAAAAGCTACACAGTGAGTGACCTACCATCAGACAAATGTCACCAGTCTACTTTAAAAACCAACTAGTGATACAATAATTAACTTTCAAATCATTCAATATCAAATAACTATTGTGTTCAAAATATTAATTCTTGCTCTCGCCACATGGATCAGTGGTTGAGCATCAACCTATGAATCAGGAGGTCACGGTTCAATTCCCAGTCAGGGCACATTCCAGGTTGTGGGCTTGATCAATGATTCTCTCTCATCATTCATTTTTCTCTCTCTTTCTCTCTCCTTCTCTCTGTCTCTCTCTCTCTCTCCCCCCCACTTCCTCTGAAATCAATAATAATATATACATACATATAAATTATATATATACATATACATATACATATACATATACATATACATATACATATACATATATACATATATATATATACATATATATATATACATATATATGTATGAAATACCAAAATGTTACCTAATACCAAAATGTTACCTAATTCTGACCAAGTTTGTACACAGAGAAGAATGGAATCAGAGTTCTTTTTTGGGTTCAGGATTATTTTAAATTACCTGTATAAACTATTTTAGACATGTTTCCAGCAAGATTTTAAAAGTAATATTTCCTCTAGCCCCAAAACAGATTAAGTAATTATGAACTGTAGACTTTCTAAAGTTCCCATACAACTTTTTAGCAATACTTTTTAGCACCAGGCATTTCTACTTATCCCTGGTTTTCCTTAAAATGGAAGTAGAGATAGTTCTAGAAGGGCCCAGATCTTTCTATCTTACAAATTCACTGAAAGCATAAACTTCTAATTTTTGTCTAAAAACAAATGATTCCTAAATGTAGTGTCTGCTTCCAAGTATCTTAGTTACATAAGCTTTAGGTCATGGGTGGGCCATATGGATATTTATAACATCATTCAAGGGCCATACAAAATTATGAACTTAAAGATTAGCTTGCTATATTTGGTCAAACATTTTATTAACTGGCCCCTGATGCCTTGGCAGGGCCAGATCAAATGATTTTTTGCGGGCCTTATATGACCTGTGGGCCAGATGTTCCCCACCCCTGATTTAAACAGAAGCAGCCATTCAAATAAGTGTATTAAAAGTGGCAAATAAACTGAAAATGCATTTTAAACATTTAAAGGAAAAAGAATTTGGAGAAAATTTTGTATTTAAATCAATATAAGAAACATTGTTAATACCCAGATTACCCACATTCATATAACACACAGTAGTCAGTAGACAATTTTAAAAATCTATTTAAAAATTATAACCAGTTTGTGGTAAATGTCTATTAAGAATGTCATTCTCATTAAGGTGCAATTTTCTAGCAGCTGAAGACTGCTATTAAGAACTTTTATTTTTTAGTAATAAGTAGCAGTGAGAAATTTAAAAAGGCAGCAGTAGCAGTATGGTGTACTACTGATTAAAAGTCTAGACTTTGGACTAGACTTGAGCCATAAGTTCGCTATATAATCTAGGATAAATTACCTAACTTCTCTGAACATTTATTTCATTATCTGTAAAATAAAGATAATATGTGTACACTTTACAAAGCTGTTTTGAGGATTAAATAGACAAAATACTTACCGATGATAGGCTTCTCGCCGATACTTTTTCAGGGCATGTTTATCCATGTTAGCAGGCAGATCTGCTGCATTCTGTAACCGATCACTCCAGGAGGTTGTCATTTTAATTGTACGCTGAATTCTAGAAAAGAAAATCAGTATTGTAACTTAGAAGCTTAATAATGATACCTGATTTTTAAAAATACATTTTTTTAAATTTATTTTTTGTTAATCCTCACTTGGGGATATTTTTTCCATTGATTTTTAGAGTGGAGGGGAGGTGGGAGAGGGAAAGAGAGAGACACAGAGAGAGAGAGAGATTGATTGGCTGTCTCCCTGCACACACACACCCTACCGGGGATCAAACTAGCAACCTGGGCATGCAGCCTGACTGGGAATAGAACCGGTGACCTCTTAGTGCATACATAGGACAACACCCAACCAACTGAGCCACACCGGCCCGGCTGACATCTGATTTCTTAAAAATCAGAAAAACTTTATTTTACAACTGCCTGGTATAATTATCTGCTGCAATGTATTGAATATAGTAAATATACTAAAAAATATACTGACACTTCTAAAGCACATAAATTAAGGAAAATGTTTCATATGATGATTTCTATCCAGAAAGATCATATACATCACTTCAAAATAATAAAACATAACTAACTTTAATCCTAAATTCTAGAAAAGGGACCGAGATGACAGATTTATGAAAATATATAACTTTTAGTTAATGTTTCAAAATGTGCAAAGTAAACAATTTCTAAATCAATAAACTAAGCTCAATCGAAAGTGGTACAAAAATAAGTAATGAATATTTGATTTCTAATTTTATCATACATTTACATTTTTATATAAAATTTATTTTTCAGCACAGCTGGCATGGCTCAGTGGTTGAGCATCGACCTATGGATCAGGAGGTTATGGTTCCATTCCTAATGGGGCATATCCCCAGGTTGCAGGCTTGATCCCCAGTAGAGGGTGTACAGGAGGCAGCCGATCAATGATTCTCTCTCATCATTGATGTTTCTATCTCTTTCTCTTCCTTCCTTCCTCTCTGAAATCAATAAAAATATATTTTAAAAAATAATAACAAAACAAGGTGAACAACTGTCTACTTTAAATACCTTAAAACTAGACAGTTCTAGGTTTCATTTATATTTTTAAGATTTTCATATGTAAATAGTTTTAAATAAGGATGAAAAATATCCTCTTTAAGATAAGGAATTTAATAACATTTTATTAAAATACCAATCTTTGACAAAACAGGCTCATAGACACAGAGTTGCCAGATAGAAGGAGGGTTGGGGGGGCTGGGTGAAAACAGTGAAGGGATTAAGTACAAAATGGCAGTTACAAAATAGTCATGGGTACATAAGGTACAACATAAGGAATACAGTCAATAACATTGTAATAACTATGTATGGTACCAGGTGAATACTAGGCTTGAGGGGATCACTTTATAAGTTATATAAATGTTTAATCACTATGCAATATACCTAAAACTAATAGAGTATTGAATGTCAACTGTAATTGAAAAATTAAAAACATGTTTTAAAGAAGCAAATACTCAAGAAAAATTAAATAAAACTGAATTTCCAGCTTAAAAAAAGCTGAAGAGAAAAGAAAAAAGCAGATTTCTCATCTGAAACAGTATAACTAGAGGAAAGTAGAGAAACATCTTTAAAATACTAAAAGAAAAAAGTGTCAACCTAGAATTCTTTACCTGGCAAAAATACCATTCAGGAATAAAAATACAATAAAAAATTTTTCAGACATACAAAAGCTGAAAGAATTCATCACCAGCAGACTAAAAAAAAATTTTAAAGGAAGTCTTTCAGGTAAGAGGAAAATAATACAAAAAGGAAATCAACTACACAAAGGAATGGATAAATATTTTAAAATTTTTTCCTACTAGTAAATCTTTTTAAAAAGTAATTGTTTGAAGCAAAAGTAATAACCATGTACTGTGAGGTATATAACACATGTATAAGTCAAATATATGACAGCAATAGCCCAAAAGTGGGTAGGGGCAAAATAGAAACACAGTATTATAAGATTCTTACAGACTATATCTATATATATAAAGAGCCAGGGGCCATCATATCCGAAACAACCACACAGACGACCGAACAGGCTGTGTGGGGTGACCGGGACGGCAGGGGGGTGAGAGAGGGCTGACTAAACGACTAAGCAGCAGACTGTGTGGGGCAACCAGGCCAGCAGGGGGGACAGTGAGGGGCGACCAGGCTGGCAAGAGGCTAAGTTGGGGGCAACCAGGCAGGCAGGGTGGGCAGTAAGGAACCACCATGCTGGCGGGGGGGCGGGGAGGGGAAGTTAGGGGTGACCAGGCCGGTGGGGGGTGGAGGGGGCAGTTGGGGGCAATCAGGTTGGCAGGCAGAGGCGGTTAGGGGTGATCAGGCTGGCAGGGGGGCCAGTTAGGGGCGATCAGGCAGGTAGGCAGGTGAGCAATTAGGAGCCAGTGGTCCTGGATTGTGAGAGGGATATCCGACTGCCGGTTTAGGCCCAATCCCCAGAATTGGGCCTAAACCGGCAGTCAGACATCCCCCAAGGGGTCCCAGATTGGAGGGTGCAGGCTGGGCTAAGAGGACCCCCCCCCCGTGCACGAATTTCATGCACTGGGCCTCTAGTGAAATCATATAATATCACTTGAAAACAGACTGTGACAAGGTAAAGATGCATACCATACACCCTAAAACAATCACCAAAATCACACCAAAACATTATAGCTAGAAAAAGATTATAATCTGGAAACAAAATAATCAACCCAAAATAAGAGATAAAGAGAGAAAAGGAAAACAAAGAACAAATAGGACAACCGGAAAAATAGCAAGGTGATAGAATTTTACTCAACCATATTTTTAAAAATCACATTAAATTTACAATATCTAAACACCCCAATCAAAAAGAAGCTGGAATGGTTATATTACTATTAAACAAAGTATACTTCAGATCAAAGAATATTACCAGGAATAAGGAGGCCCGTTTCTTAATGTTAGCAGGTCAACATCAACAGCACATAATAATCATAAATGCTTATGTACATCTAATAACATGAGCTTTAAAATACATGAAGCAGCCCTAGCCAGCTTGGCTCAGTGGACAGAGTGTCAGCCTGCAGACTGAAGGGTCCCAGGTTTGATTCCGGCCAAGGGCACATGCTTGGGTTGCCGGCTCAATCCCCAGTAGGGGGTGTGCAGGAGGCAGCCAATCAATGATTCATTGGTGTTTCTATCTCTCTCTCCCTCTCCCTTCCTCTCTGAAATCTATAAATAAATATATTTTTAAAAAAAAATACACGAAGCAAAAACAGATAAAACTGTGAGGAAAAAATAACCAATCCACAATTATAACTGGAGATTTAAATAACCTCTCAATAACTAACAGAACAAGTAGAGAGAACATCAATTAAGGATAGGAAAGAGCCCTAGCTCGTTTGGCTCAGTGGATAGAGCATCACCGCGTGGACTGAAGCATCTGGGTTCGATTGCAGTCAAGGGCATGTACCCGAGTTGCAGGCTTGATCCCGGCCATGGTAACAGTGTGTGTAGTAACGGTGTGTGTGGGAAGCAACCAATCAATGTATCTCTCTCACATTGATGTTTCTCTTTCTCTGTCTCTCCTCCTCCCCTTTACTCTAAAAATCAATGGAAAAATATCCTCAGGAGAGGGTTAAAAAAAAAAAAAAAAAAGGATAGAAAAGACTGAACACTATCATCCACTTGTCAGAATTGACCTTTATAAAATAGTCCACCCTACAACTGCAGAATATACATTCTTTTCAAGTACACATAGAACATTTACCAAAATAAATCATATTCTAAGCCATAACACAAGTCTCAACACATTTTTTTAAAAGTCAAGTCTTATAAATTAAATTCTGTCCACTGGTCATAATGAAGTTAAATTATAATAACAGAAAAATATCTGGAAAATTCCCAACTATCTGAAAACTATATAACACACTTTTATATAACCCACTGGTCAAAGAATAAATCAAAGGAGAAATTATAAATTATTTTAAACTGAATAAAAATACAATATTATTAAAATTTATGGATGAAAAGAATTAAAACAGTTCAGTAAAAACATCAACTAAACACAAAAGGTGGCAGTAATGGAGGAAATGAGAAACCAAAAATATGCCACTCAGAAAACAAACAGCAAAAGGCAAAAGTAAGTCCTTCCTTATCAGTAATTACTTTAAATGTAACTGATTTCAACTCCCCCAGCAAAAGGCAGAGACTGACAGAAAAAAATTAAAAAGACATACTCCAGCCCCTAGCTGGTTTACTTCAGTGGATAGAGCATCGCCCTGCGAACTGAAGGGTCCAGGGTTTGATTCCGGTCAAGGTCACATGATTGGGTTGCAGGCTCGATCCTCAGTAGGGGGCGTGCAGGAGGCAGCCGATCAATGATTCTCTCTCATCACTGATGTTTCTATCTCCCTCTCTCTTCCTCTCTGAATCAATAAAAATATATTTAAAAAAAAATACTTCAACTATACGTTGTCTACAAGAGGCTCACTTTAGATCCAAAGACACACACTGAAATTGAAATGGGAAGGATAGGAAAAGATATTCTATGCAAATAATAACCAAATAGAGCCAAAGTGGCTATATTATTACTATCAGACAAAACTTACTTTTAAGTCCAAAACTGTTACAAGACAAAGGAATGCATTATATTGACAAAAGGGTCAATTTGCAAAGAAGACATAGCAATTGTAAACATATATGCACCCTACAACACAGCCCCAAAATGTATGAAGCAAATATTAATACAGGTAGTTCTACCATAATAGTTGGATACTTCAATACTACACTTCCAATAATGGATAGAACATCAAAGATTGAATACTGATAAGGATATAAAGGACTTAACACCATAAACTAACTAAATCTAACAGACATATATAGACTACACTCAATACAGAATACACATTCTTCTCAAGTAAACATGGAACATTATCCAGGATAACATTATGTTCAACCACAAAACAAGTCTTTAAACAATAAATGTTTTAAAAACTGACCCATACAAAGTATCTTCTCCTACACAATGGAAGAAAGCCAGAAATCAATAACAAGGAAAACTATAAAATTCACAAATATGTGG